GACTGCGTGGACGTCTCCGGTTCTCCTACTCCAGAAGCACAGAAACACATTGGTGATTTATTCCCAGCAGGAAAGGGTGAAGTTAAGGAAGTTTTTGTTTGTATAGAAAGCACACAAGAGGATTATGGAATATAGGAGGCTGTGGGGAAGAAAAAGAAGGGGTCCTTGACTTCTTTTGCTTTCAGTGCTGGTGGGGTGGACATTTTTTGCAGGTATTCTGCAGAATTTCAGCCACTTGCAGTCTGAATTTATGTGATATTATGGATACAAAGACAGTTGATGAAACATCTTTCTGTTGCATTGTCTTTCTATTGCATGTTCTTACAACATGAACAGGGCTGAACAATACACAACAATTTGTTATGAGCCAGTTATTTTAATGAATCACTCATAAAGACTGAATGAATCGCTAACTAACTCTGTCAGTGGTTCTTGAGTTAATGTTGCCTACTGTCATAGATTATGAACTTTCATGTTCCACGTCAGAAGAAAGAGTGTCATACAGGTTTGAAATGACATGAGGGGGAGTAAATTATGACAGGATTTTTCATTTTTTATTTAATTGTTAAGTGTCCCTTAAAATTGAAACATCATAATATAAAAGTCAAACAAATCCTTTTTTTAATGGAAGTTTATCGAACTTTCAGACAAAATCTTTTTTAAATACGTTTTTTGTTGAGTATCATATTTGATGCATCAGGCTTGCATGGCTCATACAAGAGAATATGAAGCTCACTTCTTTTATTCAGAGATCCAAACTAAGCAAAAATATGCATTTTGGTGCAGCTGCTGATATTCATATGGTCAATACATTAGATGAAGTTCTGATAGCTTGCAGCGTAAATCAATGTGGGTTTTTTACAGCAGAATAGCAGACAACATACACAAATACATATAAATATCAGTTGTTACTCTATATATTTATTCTTAATATTTGAATGCAACCGATCCACAAACTGATTTTCTAACTCGTAATGCAGCCTGAATCATAAAAACATGATGGTTGTCCATTCGTTGGCCAGAGGAGAACTGGCCCCCGGGACTGAGCCTGATTTCTCCCAAGGTTTTTTTTTTTTTCTCCATTCTGTCACCTGATGGAGTTTGGGTTCCTTGCCACTGCTTTTGGCTTGCTTATTTGGGGACACTGAATATTCAACAATATTATTGATTTGACTGACTGACTATTGGATGAGAACTGAACTGAGCTGGACAATGGCATCACTGTTTTCTAAAAAAAAATATTTTCTAAAAGTGACATTTGAAGCCGAAGAATGGTAACCCATACTCCGAATTTGTCCTCTGCATTTAACCCATCCGAATTAGTGCATACACATTAGTAATGAGTAGTGAACACACACATACTGCAAACCGTAGGCACACACACCCAGTGCAGTAGGCAGCCATTTTGCTGTGGCGCCCGGGGAGCGATTGGGGGTTAGTCAGTCATTTCCTCCCGGTGTTGAGAATCAAACCCGCAACCTTCAAGTTACCAGTCTGACTCTGAGCTCATTTAATAACTGATGATCTTTAAAACGGAACTGAATCAACACTGAACTGACTTCCCCTGAACAATTACACTATTTTGTGAAAATGAACTCTGATTTGCATCATTGAATCATTTTCCTGTTACCACTGTAAACCTGCTTTGAAACAAGCTATATTGTATAAAGCGCAGTATAAATGAAGGCGACTTGACTATATTGCCCAATAATATGTCTTAGTAAGATGATATTTAAATGCTTTAGTAGTTTAATGATCAAAGCTCTGTAGTTTTAATTGTGGGAGCAAAACATATAAAGCAATGCAATACAAGGATAATTGAGAGATGTTCAAATAAATGTTCCATCATATATAGCATACAGGTATACGCCTGTACCACAACCCGAAGGTGGACATTTAGAATTATACTGAAAGGAGTATCAATCAGACGGCAGAAGGCAGCAGGATTTTCAGCAAAGGTTTTATCATTAATTAAGAGGCCTTATTAATATGCATATGAAATATGATAATGTCAGCTTTTTATTTTATTTTTATTTATCCTTTATTTAACCAGGAAATACCCATTGAGATTAAAAATCTCTTTTGCAAGGGAGACCTGGCCAAGATAGGCAGCAAAATTACATCACATCATTACATACGTACAAAGACACACAAATGAAATCCAATTATGCACTTACAATGAAATCTCAATGAAAACATTGACATGTGAGGGAGTCCAACTCAAAGCATCTCATTCTTAACTTAAAAACACTCAAAGGAATCAATTTACTAAGTTTTAAGTTGTTCTGCAGCAAATTCCATGTAAAGGGAGCAGAATAAGCAAAGGCCTTTTTACCCAGCTCAGTACTGACATGTGGGACAGAAAACAAGACAACAGTCTGAGAACGGAGGGTGTAATGACCAACACTTTTTTTCATAAGAAGTGAACATAAATAGGATGGGAGCGCACCAAGAATAGCCTTATATATAAATGTATACCAATGACAAAGCCTCCGTGTGGCCAAAGCAGACCACCCTACACGAGAATACAACTCACAGTGGTGGGTGCGAGCTTTACAATTAGTAATAAATCTCAACGATGCATGATAGGCTGCGTCAATCATGTGAAGGCATTGAGCAGATGAATGCATATATAATATATCACCATAATCCAGCACAGATAAAAAAGTGGATGCCACTAACCGTTTTTTAACATTAAAAGAAAAGCACAGCTTATTTCGAAAGTAAAAACCCAATTTTAGCCTCAACTTTCTCACTAGACAGTTAATATGAGGCTTAAATGATAGGCAATCATCAATAACAATACCAAGATACTTATAAGTTGTAACAGTCTGTATTTCACGTCCATCAAGAGTAATCACTGAGGGAACATTCAGTGGTCTATTCCGAAGGCCTGTGAAAAGCATACATTTGGTTTTGTCTGCATTGAGCACAAGTTTCAACTGTAGCAAAGTATTTTGGACCACATTGAAGGCATTCTGTAAATGTGCAATGGCTTGTTTAAGAGAGGGTGCACAGCAGTAAATAACTGTGTCATCTGCATAAAAATGAAAGTTTGCATCAGACACATGCCGATTAAGATTATTTATATAAATAGTAAATAAAAGAGGGCCTAATACAGAGCCTTGTGGAACCCCTTTAAGGATTGGTAAAATACCAGACTGAACACCATCATGCTTAATGCACTGAGTTCTGTCACTAAGATAGTTTGAGAACCAAGAGACAGTTTTCTTTGAAAATCCCGAATTAAGAAGCCTAATCTTTAAAACATCATGATCAACCATGATCAACCTTTTAGGTCTAGGATACATACAACATGTATGTGTTGCGTCAGAATGCATGGCTGCTTTTGAATGGTTGTCAATGGAAAAATATGCTTTTTGTATGCTGTTATAGTTCCTACTGATGCTAAACCTCGACTCATTGGCTAGACACAATTATAAGAAGTTTCAGCAGTCTCCCTATCTGCAAAAAAGAATTGATGCTTTGAATAAAACTTTACTCTCGTCTCGCTCTCTGTCTGTTTCTCTTTGTTTCCATCTGTCTTGAGGTGACATCATCCTCCAATATCTCTCCGGTCTGTTGTCGCAGTGTTCCTCTCCATCCCATTCTCTTTTCCCCCCTCCTTAGATCTTTTATTCTCTCTCTTCTGATCTCCTCCTCTCCATACAGGTCTGTTTTGTGCACAACATTAGAGCAGAGAGAGCTAATGTAGTTTATCCTTCTGATTTAAAGCACACGAGTCACAGTAAATGTCTAGGGATAAATCTGATCTCAGTCATTATTAATGGGAGTGTGTCTGTGTCTGTCACTCTGTGTTTGTGGTTTAGCATTTAGCCAGTAGCTGAGCAAAAATATTTTAGTAATATAGAATATTTCAGTCATTAGTCAATAGCTCATTTATTATGACAGTGTTGAATATGGGAAGGAAGTGCCTATAAACAGTCCCTGCTGAAAATAGCAGCTCAAGTCAGCATGAATTTCCAGGCTAGTTTGGATCTGATTGATTTTATGTATTTATTTTTCTTTAATTGATTATTTGTCTTTTTAGAATTTCAGATTTTTTTTTTTCAGATGGATCGCAGGTGAATGCAATTTATTAGAGCATGCCAAAACAGCATATTTGTCAACAGTAAACTCCTGAATGTAGTGTAGCAAATGTTAGCCTATTTTTTAATTGCACAAGGAGATATTTCAACAGAATGAGCTGGCATGTTATCTCCCACACATGCACCCACACGCTAATACCAGCCACAGAATGTACAATAACTGTCCACTGCAAAGCTCTGGAGATATTCCAGCTAAACATAAGCTTATACCTTGTGTTTGATTTTTGAGTCATCTCTTACTTTATCCCTCAGCTCAGCTATCACCTAAAATACCCCCCTTACCTGAAAAATGCACTACTCATCATCTTTGAGTGAAATGACACTTTATTTTTGTCTCTTCCACTCAGATAAGTGAGGATTCGGTGAGCCTCTATTACACGATGGGTGGGGGTCAATCCACGAGAGCTATCGGAAAGGGGAAATGTTGGCAAGCTGGCTTTGAAATGTCTCTTGGGCATCGTACACTCTCTATTCCCCTACAGACGTATACAAATGCGGTTACATACACAGCACTCAACGCGGTAATGGCAGGAACAAGCTAAAGCCCTAAAATCTGTACTTCCACTCAGAATTTTGACAAGAGTTGACTTGTATGATTGAATTGTTGTTTTTCTGTTGTTTGGTGGTTTCCTCCTAAGTGTTTTTTGATGATACGGGTCATTTTTCGAATGGTTTTACGAGTACACGAGACCTCTGAAGACTGGCCACTGTGTAGAATACAGAATCACAGGATACAATAATTCATTTTGTGTCAGCTAAAGCTTTTGTGAATTTCATGGTGGTTTAATGTGGTTCAGGTTGAGATATTGGATAAAAAGGACCTTGACTGTAAACTTCAGAAGCAGAACTGTTGAAACTTACCTTCAGCCTGTTCTCTGGTCTTTTTTATAGGAAGCTACTGGAACGCGGCATCCTTCAACACGCCATCTTCGTACCTGCATTTCTCCACTTTTCAAGGAGAAACAAGTGCTGACATCTCCTTTTACTTCAAGACCTCTGCTCCCTATGGCGTCTTTCTGGAAAACCTTGGAAACACGGATTTCATCCGTCTGGAGTTAAAATGTAGGAGCCTGGTTCATGTTGTCTTTGTTTCTCCCTCTTTTTGTATCCCTTTCTCTGTGTCTGTCTGTCCTGCTGCTCGTCTAAATCCCATGGTTATGCACACACACACACACATCTGTGAAGTGAAAAGTTTGAAAAGAGGAAGTGCTGAGCAGGCACTTCCTGTACCACCAGGATCAGTGCATGAAGCCTGTCCTCTTTTATTATATCTGCTGGTGGACTTCAGTGTCTGGCTATTGTGTTTAAGTCTATTTGCAGCACTGATTACTATACATACATTCGCCTCAAATGTTCTGCTGATTGTTCTCTAAATGGAGGCTTAAGAAGAAAACAGCTGAAATAAAACAGACTTTGTAATTGCTTATAAATGTCTATTTACTGACATTTCACAGCCTTTTTTCCTCAAAAATGGCTAGATTATAATGAAGCAGCATAACTAAGGATTTGAATTGTTAGCTGGGTTAAAAAAAGGCAGCAAAAGAGGCGAATCTCTTTCACGCAGATTGAGTTTTCAACCTATGAGCCGAGCTGGCTTCCTCTTCACACTGTTTACTGCACAATGGGCAATCCAGAACGCAAAAATGCACCATTGCGGATAAATCTTGTGTTGCATACAGTATTTCATGTTTCCTGAAGTGGTTTATTGTTGTCAAACGATTTTTTGCTCTGTTATGTATTACCTAAATGTCTGTGTAGCCTAAATCTTTAAATGCTGTTATGTGCTTTGTCTCCTGTTTCTCACCAGTCAATTGTTCCAGTCTTACCAAGACTGAAGGTCAAAAAAGAGAATAGGACTGATTTACTATTTACATATATAGATGAAGATTTCCAGATATTCATTCACAAACATACATTAAATTCCAAATGTAGCTTATTTGACCTACAGTAAATTGTATATATATATATATAAAATGTTAATACTTTATTTTACACGGATGAATCCTATTGACATATCATGTTCATCAGATAATCGCAGTGACATTGTCTTCTTGTTGCTCTGATTGGCTGATTGCCCTCTCAGCTTCCTAATACATGCCTATTGTGTTCATGGGCGGTCTGCAAATTGGCCTAAATGAATCAACCTGGTGAAAATGGATGGACTGATTACACCATTAACAACTCACTACTTTTTGTCTCACTTGAATCAAGTGGAAACTATTTGAAACTATAATATGTGAGCACATTTTAGTATCCAATCAGTGACTATCAGCCAATATAACAGTTAGTATTAATAAATAAGAGCTACACAAAATCTTTTTATTCTTTTTTTTTATTATTGTAGGTTTTTTTAAAATATTTATTTATTTTATTATTTATTTATTTATATTTTATAATATAATAATAAATTATGTTTATTTTACTCCATTTGCTTCTTATTCTATTATTCTGTTTTGTTGTATCTTGTTATATATTATGTTATATTATGTTATATTATATATTAAAAACTTGAATAGAGACTGTGAAATATCCAGGTATTAATGTATTAGTAAAATAGTATATAATATAACTTTTTATTTTATTAATTTTACTCAATTTGTTATTCAATTGTTGTGTTCTTTTCTTTTTATTATATTATAATTTATTATGTTATATTATACTTGATTACTTGATAAAATAATAATAATATAAATATACAAAAGTATTATAGTGTTGGTTGCCTGGTGATAGTGTAGTGCTTCTTAGATAAATGTTTTCTATTTGCATGCCACTGGTTAAAGTTATGTGATGAGTTCCATTATGAATATTGTGCTCTGAGAAGCAGGAAATCCTTCCCTCAGTTCTTACACTCTCACATGCACACAATCCTGAGCTAGGAGTGTGTTCTCCAGCCGTCTCCCCAGGCAGTGGTGTACCTCTCAAGGGCTCTGGAGACACACACGGAGGGAAGCTGCTTAGTGGCTCCATTTGTCAAATTCACACCTCCTGCAGTCTCCCTGTCCTCATCTCTGTGGCACGAGGGAAAGCGAGGGTTATGGTGAAGCAGAGGACATCACCTTCCCTGCTCGCTCATTTACACACATTCCTGAATCCATACATAACCCATTATTTTTACACCCTACTGCTTTACCTTTCCTTTGGACTGTGAGGAGAAGCAAATCTTGTTCTCTTCCCTCCTTTTTTAAATAAAAATAGGGGAAAAATGCTTCAGGTGAGACAGAGCAGAGAGAACAGCAACTCGCTTAGTGCTTTCTCAGAGGATGGTGACAGCAAAACATCAATCACTTGATGAAGGAGTGCAGGGAAAGATGGCCAACTGGGCATTATGCATACAGCACATGTAAAAGTATGCAGACTTGTCCGTGGAGAAGACAGCACTTCCTTTTCTGAGTGTTTGGGCTGCTAGCTAGGCACGGATGCATACAAAGTGGCCCTGAATGAGCCTGGCATGATCAGAATTTGGAGGAAATAGGAAGGCAAGCTTGTTTTGCCCCAGCAGTGGCACGGCTCTCCAGAGAGCAGAAGGTTATTGGCACCAGAGATCACTGAGGGTCTCGACATGACAGATGGGCTGATTTTCCATATACAGCTCTCAATCAGAAGCTTTACTCAGCTGGAGGGTCAGTGTATAAGTGAAAGGGGAACTGAAAAACTAAAAATAAGCTCACATGAATTTTTAAGTATTTCTTCCAGAATTTCTTCAATTAAATAGAGACTTTTGCTCAAGTCTCCTACTTCTCACAACCTGTGTAGTCTGCTCATTTTTTAATGCGATTTAAATATGAACATTTCTCGTTAAATTCTTCTGAGACCAAATTATCTGTGCTATGCTACATACATTAATTTTATAGCTTGATAATACTGTATGTTAAAAAAAATTGTCTTAATTGTGTGTGTATATTTTAAGGAAATTATATATTATTTTAATGTTTTTAAAATAAGTCTTTCAGGCTGCATTTATTTGATAAAAAATACAGTAAATATTGTTACATTTTTAAGTGTCATGTATTACTGTGATGGAAAAACAGTATTTTAGCAGCCATTATTTCAGTCTTCAGTGTCACAAAAAGTTGTCCCTCTTAATGTTTTTATGGACCCATGTTTTTTAAAGAATCTCTGATGAATAGACAGCTCAAAATAACAGCTTTTATTTGAAACAAAAAATGGTGCAACATTGTAAATATCTTCATTGTCACTTTTGTCACACCATTTAATGCATCCATGCTGAATAATTGTATTTCTTTATATTAATTTCTATAAAATAATACATCTTACTGTACGTACACACCGCCGCCGACTTGAGCTGCAAAGAAGCTCTGGCCATCCTGTCAAGGACGCTTGTCAAAAAGTACAGGGAAGCTTGTTGACGCTTTGGCCGCTCTGACGTAGTAGCATTCTATGTTCGGTCATGGGTGAAGAGAAGGGTCACAACATGAAATGTAAACAGAAAAAAACAAGCAATACATTGACACTAGAAACCTTTTATAATGACAGCATTTTTATACGCGTTTTGGTCACATTTGGTCGGAAAAAAAAAGAATAATTAGCTATTATTATTATTATTATTATTATTATTTGCATCTAGTGCAATTGGTCAAATCGGTGTTACCATGAGCAAATGAATTGCATTACCGCTTAAAACTAGCGTTTGTAAATATTACCAATAAAAGTTGCGCTTATCCTCAAATGTGTATCACTGGATCATTATGGATCATCGCAAAGTTGTTGTGTTTGGTGCTGCTGTATTGTATTTGCGGAGAAAACTAATGTTCTCAGAACTAATGTTTTGGTAGGAACGATAGTTTACATCGTATGATTCTCCGGAATCAGCCAGCGCGAAGGACGTCTATATTCCGATTGGTTGCTGGCATTTGCCGCTGCTTGCCGCTGAACTGTGTCATAGCTCATTACCATAAAGTTGAGCTACTTTTAACTTTCTGGTTGACGCTCTGGACGCTCAAAACGCCCAAAACGCAACGTCTATGGATTTGGCGGTCCTTGCAGCTGAGAGAAGCGGCGGTGTACAGTTACTGACCAAACAATTAATCCCACCCTAGAGTCACAACATTGGTTGTGACTCAGTCAATATTGATATTGATATCACAGACCCTTTAAAAATGAGACTGCAATACCATTTAGTACCACTAGTGTCACAGAAATGAGACGCTTTACCATTTTTCTGAATGTTAGAGTAAAAAAGAGAGAGCTGAAGTTATATGAAAAGTTGGGGAAGATGCTTTAAAAACCTCATCGACCTGTCTCATGAATATTAATTAGGTGACGTAACATTCACCCAGTAGTTCTAAATAATTGAAGCCACGTGGGTTCTAGCTATATTATTAGGGCATGAGTTCTTGCATTAAAGAACATCTAAACTAAGCATGATGGTCAAAGACGTCAATCTAGCACGTTTACTTTGCAAAACAATTAGGATTAGCACTTACCTTTGGCCTGTTCATTGACTGCCACTGTCGTAATGCCATTGTTTTACATATGGCTACAGTTTTCCATCTTTGCACCGCGGCCAAGCAAAACAAAGCTGTTAGAATACAATGATTATCTTCCAAAAAGTTGAGAGCGGTCGAACTTCGAAAGTTGCAATGATTGGTGCGCCCCTGAGAGCGTACAGTGAGGTTCAAGAGTGCATGTGTGCTGTTGTGTGTGTATCAGTGTCTGAGTCTAAGCCTCTGTGTCTAAGCTTGTCGACCGCACTGGTGGGTCATCTACAGCGGCACCCAGCGTAAACACTCCAGAGCTTTTCTCTAAAGCTGGATATTCACCTTCTGCATGAATCCTTTCTGAAAAGAAGAGTAATCAGGCCTGGCTGCAGGCCTGTGTGTGAGATTAAGAGTGTATTCGGGCCAGTTGTGTGTGCCCTTGTGTGTGTGTGTAGGCAGAGGAGCAGATTGTGAAATTGAAGCTCTCCGCCTTTTTTCTAGCCTTCCATTATGTCTCATCGATTTATGCCCTGACTCCTAATCCTACTTCCTTATTTTGGCCTGCCTGGTTTTCTTCAGTTACGGCTCAAAACTGAGGCCCAGTGAAATCCACTCGAAGCATGA